ACAGAAGAGATTTCTTTGAGAGATGGAGTCCATCCTGGGATGAAGAATCGATAAATATACTTGGTGGGGATTTCAATATCAATATAGATCCTGAGACAAACAGAGTTAGTCAAGCAATAGCACACCCAAATTCAACGAGCCTACAACTCAAAAATCTTACAAACAACTTTATTGATTCAGCAACTCTTGAGGGGAGTGAGCCTTTTCTGACATTTTTTCAGAATATATGAAATAACCAATCTATAGCCACTAGACTAGACTACATTTTTATTGACGAAAACTACATTTCACTAGTAGAAAAAACAGAAACATTATTTGGCAATTCAGATCATTTGATAGTCAAATGCATCTTAAATCTGAATAATAAACTTAAGACCCCAACATCTTGGAGATTTGAGAAACAGTGTTTTAAAAATAAACTTATAGAAAAGGAGGTCACAGCAGAAATTAAATCATTTAATTCTGCTACAGACTGGGATTGGCGCAAAGTTTATATTCAATCGATTATAAGGGCCTTTAGGAAACCCAGAGCCCCTGAGAGCAATTTAGCCCTATTAAACAGAAAAATAACTAAATCAAAGGAGATACTAGCAAAGGACTCTAGTCAAACGCAATTACATGCTATGGTCAATGAATTAAATCTTCAAATACAGGAAGAACTGTTATAATTAGCAGATAGATGGCAAACATGCTCCAAGGCAAGCTAGGTTAAGCAGAGAGAAAAGTCAACGAGATACTTCTTTTCAAGGTTCAAATCTCACACGAACTTTTTCGCACTTAAGGACATCAAGAATCAAGAAAACCCATCTCAGTCCAACAAAGAGCAAATTTTACAGTACATTAAAGAACAATACGTAAAGCTCTACAAGGAGGAGGAGATCGACTTAGATGCAGTAACAACTCTAACAAATGACCTTTCTATCGTTCCTTTTGCAGAGAATGAAAAGCTTTCCCGAGAGATCACAAAAGAAAAAATAACTGAGGTTATTAGAAAACTCCCAAACAACAAATCTCCAGGGTTAGACGGTCTTATATATGAGTTTTACAAACAAACTGAAAACGATATAGTTCCAGTCTTAGAGACAATTTTTAACCAGGTCCTCAACTCAGGATTATTACCTAATTCATAGCACAAAAACTTAGTTACTCTTATACCAAAGAAATCAACAGATTTAAATAACATAGATAACTGGAGACCTATCTCTTTAGTGAATTGTGATGCTAAGATCTTTATGAAAATTATAGCTAATAGGTTAAATAGAGTCTGCAACTTGATAATTCTGGCACATCAACAAGGTTTTGCCTCAAAGAGGTCAATCACAGATGCAGCACTAGATACGATTACAGTGATGAGAAATCAAACCGATCTTACTAGGCAACATTGGTTGCTCTTAGTAGACCAACAAAAAGCTTTTGATTGCATGGATCATACCTTTCTTCAACTAGTGCTCAAAAAGATGAACTTTAATCTGAAATTTAGAAATTTAGTTGGAAATCTCTTTGCCAATCAAGAGGCCCATATATTTGAATTAGGCATGCTATCGGAGCCATTTAGAGTTGGAAGAGGGGTTAGACAAGGGGTCCCTCTCTCACTATTACTATACTATATATACTGGCCTTCGAGCCCTTACTTCAGGCTATTGATAGAGACATTCAAAATATATTCTCTTATGACTAGACATTCAAATCTATAGCATATACAGATGATCTTATAATAGAAGTTGGGAGTTCATCAGATTGGCTGAAGATACACAGACTGTTTGACCTATACGAAAGAGTCTCTTCTGCAAGAATTAATAACCAAAAAACAAAAATTGTTCCACTTACAATTATGGCAAGAAGAGCAAACCTCCCGGACATAATTGATTTCAAAGTCATAGAAGAACCTGATACATTCAAATTACTAGGCTATGAAATCGATATAAAAGGGCAACCAAAAAAGGACTTATAGGCATCTACTATCACCAAACTTAAAAACACACTTTCCAAACTTGTGGTGAGAAATCTTTTCTTCAAAGGAAGGATCCTAATCGCGAAATCACTAATACTTTCTCGCATCTGGTATACAGCCTACATTCTTCTTCCGAAGAAAAACCAAATATTAGAAATAAACCATCTAATAGATCTATGAATCAAGGGTAACTCCAGGTGGCTCCCAAGATATTTGACCTACCAACTTCTCTACGAAAAAGGCGGTCTACAGGCTCCAATAGTAGGGAATATATTGGAGGCCAGAATGATCACAACTTGGATAAAGCTTATATCAGGAGATACCATGTGGGCCAAGATAGAAAGGTTAAGGATCACACAATCTTTATAGAACAAGAGAGATATTACAAGTTTGCAAGCCTTTACAGAAAATCCTGTGAGAACTAAAGACTGGCCCTCGGAATGG